ATTGAGCACCTCCTATTTTTTGTGTATGTGCTAGGAAAAGGTATACTGCCCAACTTTCTTAGCATTTGAATTGGAAAAAGTACTTTTATTGATTTTCATCTAAAAAGAAGCAATTTATTTTTTTCTTTTATTTATATATGACAGCGGAATGCACTACAATTCTTATTACACATATAGAGCACCATTTTTCGTATCTCTGGTTGTATATAAAGTATTTTCACACCAATTCGTGTCTTCATACATGTACTTTGGATAATAATGATCATCATATTCCACCATCATTTCTAACCCCATGCCTCCTTCCTTCCCCTCCAACCCCTCTGCCCTATCTAGAGTTGTCTATTCCTCTCATGCTCCCTCTCCCACTATGACTCAGCCTCCTTATATCAAAGAAAACATTTGGCATTTGGTTTTTTGGGATTGGCTAACTTCACTTAGCATTATCTTTAAAAAGGAGCAATTTAAATAAGAAGTGCTTAGTTAGGAAGGTATAACTAGTTTGGAGACAAGCCTGTGAATTTAATTTATAGTATTCAAGATTTCTCCAAATTATCTGTTCATATATCCTTCAAATGGTGGTGGGAAACTGACCTGTTGAACARCAGGGCTGTTGTGAAGATTAATAATAAAGCTAAAGTGTTATTCATATCCTCTTTTTAAAAAATATTTTTAGTTGTTGATGGACCTTTATTTATTTATTAATCTATATGTGGTGCTGAGAATCGAACCCAGTGCCTCATACATGCTAGGCAARCACTCTACCACTGAGCCACAACCTCAGCCCTCATAAACTCTTTATTACTACTATTACTTTCAGTGATTGTTAGATATGTATGAAGTTAAAACTGTGATTTTTGTGGGAGGAGATGGTATTGGAGATTTAACCTAGGGGCAATTTACTACTGAGCCACATTCCCAGCCCTTTTTATTTTTTATTTTGAGACAGAGTCTCACTAAGTTGCTTAGGGCATTGCTAAATTGCAGAGACTGGCCTTGAACTTGCAATCCTTCTGTCAGCCTCCCAAATCACTAGAATTATACGTTTGCACCAATGCACCCAACTGTAACTGATTTTTTAACCATCTATTTATGGCAGTTCTTGCTCTCTTACATTAATTTCTCCATTATGCCTGAATTTTAGGGGTAGATCAAACAGATAAGGATATGGAATGACTGCTACTAAATCAGTAGTGGATCAGACAGCCACAGTCCGCTCTTTTGAGGCCTGTCCTTTTTCCTGAACACAGTACACTTACTGATTTCAGCAATCACCTTTTCTTTGAGTTGGGATTTGCCATCATGGAAATAATACTTAGTTGGAGCCACTAAAAACAACCAGTCTCTTTATTGGGACAATAACTTGCAATACTTTGGCCTTTAAATACAGTAAAAGTTCACGTGACTTTTTATTTTAGTTCAGTTTCTGTCATTTTGCTCCAGCTCTCAGTGCAGAGTATAAATTGACAGGTTAATCTGTGGCATCAAGTCATCTGTTTAAAAGTCTGAAGTGGAATATATTTTAGGCATCTTATTGTCCATTTAAAAGATAATAAAGAAAAATCTCCTGCCTAGACAATTTTCTTCCTCTTAGGAACTTCTATCCAGGGCTGGGATTGTGGCTCAATGGTAGAGTGCTTGCCAAGCACATGGGGGGGGGGGGGGCATTGGACTGAATCCCCAGCACCACATAAAAAACTAAATAAACAAAACACAGGTTATTGTATCCATCTACAACTAAAAATATTAGGGGGAAAAAAAAACTTCTAACCAAACATGAATCTAAGTTTACTTTGTTTTCTAGGCTTTAATTTTGAAGGCATTTCCTGCAGCAAATGTGTTCTAAAACTTGTTGAAATATCATCTGCAAAATCATTTGAGTTGGGTTACTTTGGCAGAGGGGTTTGTTGTTGTTTTGTTTTTTCTTTATAAATTATTCAGTTTTATCTAGGAGGTATTTTAGTATCAATAGCTATCATGGCCCATAAACTATTTTCAACACCTTCAAATTGATCCTACTGAAAAGTACCTTTTTTGGGGGTGGGGTACAGGGAGGTATGGAGAATTGTACCCAGGGGAGCTTTACCGCTGACCTACATCCACAGCTCTTTTTATTTTTTATTTTAAAACAGGATCTCACTATGTTGCTGAGGCTGCCCTCAAATTTGCAATCCTTGGGCCTCAGCCTCTCAAATCATTGGGATTACAGGAGTATGTCACCACATCCAGCCTATATAAAGTAGCTGTTAAAGTTATTTAAATTATAATTTAAAAACTGGTTTTTAGCTGTTTTGACTTCAGGCCCCATCAGACTACTAGATCCCAAATCTTGCCTTCTGTGTGGACATACACAGTGTCTGACTGTGGATGTCTTTGTCTTGAGAATTTAGTTGTTTGCTACAAATTGAGCCTTTGAATTCTTTAGGTTCTTTGTCCTCCTCATTTGAAAACTATTCAGATGATGTTGCCCAAAGGGCTCAGAGAGAAACAGCATGACTGACTTTTGGGAAATTAGTAAGCAGTAGGGCTATTTTTAGCTTTTACTCCTTGCAAACATTTCCTTTTGTTCTTTAGAAGACATTGTTGATCTATTCATTCATCAGCTGTGCCCCCCCCCACACACACACACACACAGAACAACAAGACATCAGGGTAGAATAAGCCCTCTCTACTCTGTTCAGCATAACTGTATTGATTCCTATTTTATCCAATTTTGACTCTAACTCATAAGTTACTCATTTGTTTGCATTTTTCTGGATACTGAATAGCATCCCCCCAATACACTACACAGACACACACTTTTGTTGTTATTTGGGGTTGATTTGACTGAAAAATATTCCCACAAGCAGGGTATATAAAGTTTATGGTTTTGTCATACTGTATGGTGATAACCTATGGTGTGATTTACCATTATTTGCTCTGTTAGTACCTATCTTAATAAATGTATAAAATTGTGCAGTTAGTAGTGCAGAATCCCAATTCTCAGGGTATATTCCTGGGGTATGAAGGCTGGCTTCTATGTCTCAGTCTTATGTTTGATCTTTCAGAAGTCTTCCAGTGTTCCAAAGAAGCCCACTGAAACTTCACTTTAATTCTTCATATAAGGGGGAAGTTTGATGTTAGACTTTTCTGTTTTAGATCTCTTCTAAGAGGACTTAGTCATTTTGCATATTTTAATTTAACTCTTCTCTTTCCATTTTTCCCTAAGAGAGAGATGCACTGTAGCATTTGTRGTAAATATTATAGGTTATGGAATCAAATCACCTATTTCAAAGCCTTGTTCTGCTGTTAATCTCTGTGTACCTCAGTTGCCTTGTCTCAAAAATGAAGATAACGGTACTGCTTCATACAGTTGTTTGGGGATTTACATCAGATAATCCATGTAAAGAGCCTAACCTAATGCCCGACTTAGTAAAGTCTCAATGCATGTTGGTTGTAATAATTATTGTATAAGATCATTTTATCTGTAATATAGGGTATAATCTTAGAATGCCAGAATGAGGCAAAGTACTCCATTTCTAGGGACCCTTGCTTCTGTCCCTGTAAGCATTTTTTATTGGAATGTCCTCAACAGAGGTGGCCTAGTTCCAGAGCCTAGTGAATTTAGTTTCCCTTAGCCCTCCAGTATTTGCAGCTCTTCATATCTAGAATCAGCACAATTATAATAGGAAGTCAAGCAAAACGTGTTTTTGCATAAAGAGGGGAAGGCAGAATGTGTGATGGCGTTCTGACATCTGTGCCTCTGCCCTGGGCCAAAAGCAGAATGGTTGTTTGCTGCTGATTTGGAATCCCATCTGCTGCCTTCTCAGTGCTTAGGTCCCTCTTCTTGTCCCCCATGTAAAGCCCCAGGGATGATGAAGTCTGGGAAAGAAGGTTGAAATATAAGACATGAAAAGGAAAGTGAGATAGAGGTTCGGGAGAAAATGTGCAGAATGACAGACCCCCACTCTACGGATGACCCACTCAGGGCAATGCTGTCTTTCTCTGCCAGTGACAGTTTTACAAGTGTGCTGTAGACAGTGTGAAGGACATGCTAGCCTGAAAAAATAAATAAAAACAACGGGGGTAGTGGGGGGGTGGCGGGGGGGGGGGGRCTAGCCTGTTCCAGTACAGCTCCATCTTTGTGCTTGAGAGCTTTTCTGACCTCTGATTCAAGTATTTATTAAACTAAGCTTTTTAAAACTCTTTTAAATGTTTTTATTTTTAAGCTCTTAGCCCAGGCCTTATATTTTTACAATGGGTGCTTTGACTTTTGAATATATTCTTTCTGTTTTCTTACAGCATTTAACTCACCCCACTGCCAACTAATTTACATACTATCTCCCACTGAAGTAACTTCTTATTTTGAGGTATCATCTTCTGCCCATCCTGAGAGGTCCCAGTCAGGCTGTCCACAACATGATTATCTTAGAACCACTGATTTCAAGGGTAGGACACAAAGCATCACACACACACACACACACACACACACACACACACACAGTGTCAGTCGAGAATGTTCTAACTTAACTCTTTAATGACTTAAGCTTGAGTTAGCTAACAGTAGTGTGATGAGTTCCCCAGAAAGGCATGTATTGAGTAAGCACAAGTAAGCAACTTGTGTTTACACAAGGAGCTAAGGAGATTACTTGTCTTATGATATCTTTATTTTTAATGGAAAATTCTTTGAAACTATATTTTTATTTTCAAAATTTAATGTTTGCTTTTAACTTAGACCTATTTTTTTTTCCTGCTTAGGATTTCCTAGTGATCGTTCCAAGTTTATGTATAGTTCAAACGAATGGAATGAATGGAATAATACTTTAATATGGAGTATTCAGAGGTTGTTTTTCATGTTGTTTGGCTACTGTATTTTTACTTCAGTTTGAGGTTATTTCGACACTTCATTCACAAACACAGTTGGCTCTGATTTTGCCTTAAGTTTTAGTGTTCCTTAATTGTAATTCATTGCATATGTACTTTTTTATGCTAGGCTTTAAAAAGTATCTCTGTTTGCATTCTAGACTGAGTTTGCACGATTTAGTGGAACAAATGTGGAAACTGACTTTGTAGAGGTACCATCACAAATGCTTGAAAATTGGGTGTGGGACATTGATTCCCTCCGAAGATTGTCAAAACATTATAAAGATGGAAGCCCTATTACAGATGATCTGCTTGAAAAGCTTGTTGCTTCTAGACTGGTCAACACAGGTATGAGTTGTTATTTTAGAAAAGGAAAATAAGTGAGAATAGCTTAATGTAGAATTCTTGGCCTCTTCTTCTGTAGGACTTATGTTCCCTTGTATATTGATGGTACCCTGAGGGTGCTAATATGCAGAGAGAGAACTCTAAATATATTGGAAGAGGAAATCATGGGATTATCTGGGGCTGGGGAAACAATCTCCTTTTAAATCTTAAATTCATTAAGATATCTTGGTCCATTTGATGATATATACTACTGGAATCAGTTTTTGAAATCTCAGATCTTGTAATGTTAGAACACATAGTTCTCTCTTTTCCAAAATATGGTTAAACAGGGGGCTGGAGTTGTGGCTCAGAGGTAGAGCACTTGCCTAGTATGCTTGAGGCACTGGGTTCGATTCTCAGCACCRCATATAAATAAATGAATAAAATAATTTAAAAAATATATGGTTAAACATTCTTACATSTAGGTCTTCTGACCCTCCGCCAAATTGTTTTGAGCAAAGTTGATCAGTCCCTCCATACCAATACATCGCTGGATGCCGCAAGCGAATATGCCAAATATTGCACAGAAATTCTAGGTGTTGCAGCTACTCCAGGTATGTAAATCCTGTAACTTGAGTTTATTTTGCTGTGAAGGAATTGTAGGGCATACTCTTAACACTGCAGGGGAGGTGAAGTTATTCAAAGCTAAATTTATTTATTTCTATAATAATCAGGCCATGACTTTCAGATGAGCATACTGTGTCCCTATGTGTTATCCTGTCCAGATGTGCTCAAAGGAAAGGTGGCTCCAGATTCACAGCATTTTAGTGTAATCAGGCATAAGCAATTGGCCTCCACCCAGGAGCTGAGAGAGCCATTCGCATTTGGCAACACCGGTCTGGCTTCTTCCCTGTATGCTCCCTGACTTCCCTCTGATTTTCAGTAAGAAATTGGCAGAGGGGTGTTTTTAGAGAGAAACTTGAACTTCTGCTTTGTTTCTGATTCTGAGTTCAATTAAGGCACTGGACTCACTGGCAGTTTCTAACATRAAACATGGGATTTGTTAGAGGATATGTGAGTTTCTGTGTCTATGTGTCTGTGTGTTGGTTTTGTTTTTGTGGTGCTGGGGATTGAACCCAGGGCCTCATGCATGCTAAGTAAGTACCTAGTCCCTACGTGTTTATGTTTTAAGCCAGTATATAGATGTACTTTGATATGTAGTAAGATGACTTTTTTTCACCTAGGAAATTGTTACTAAAATGAATCAGCCACATTTATGGAGATAATAAAGATAAGAACAGTCATTTGAGTCATTCTAGCCTCCTCACTTCCTGTGGTGATCTGTTTAGAGTAAACCATAGAGCAACTTTGTGCCTCCAGACACTTTAACAAAATCCTTCTTAAAGTAGTCCTTAAGATAGACTGACTCGGTAAAGCCTTTTTCACTTTACAAGAGTTCTTTTTCAGACAACTTGAAACAAGTACCATTTTATTCTGAGACATTTTAGACATTAAAAGGTATGGCAACCGGGTGCCTGTAATCCCAGCAGCTAAGAAGGTTGAGGTAGGAGGATCATGAATTTATAGCCAGACTCAGCAAAAAGCAA